TATTATTTATTCATTTCTACATAGTAAGCATTATGCCCTTTACATTATCTGATTTAATATTTTTACCCTCCCTAAGAAATTGGTATTCACGCTTAAAGATAAATAAACTAAGTGTAGAGATGTTAACCAGGTAACTTGTTCAAGGGTACAGTGCATTAAGGAGAAGAGCTGGGATTTGAACCTAGGACTTTCTGATGCCCAAATCTGGGCTCTTGAACCAGATATCTGGGAGGACTACAGATTGAGCTGTAGAGTCCCAGGTTGGACAGAGAAGTTGGCAGGGGGTGGAGGGGGCAGGCATTTCTTAGTTGTACTCAGGAGAGGATGGCAGGGATACTCCCACTTTTTGGCCTGACCCTATGAACCTGGACAGAGCCCCAGAGACTCAGATTATGACCAGCCTGGTCACCACCTGCCCCATCTTACTTCTTCCCTGGAAAGCTGACACTTCAGGTTGCCCCAGCCACCAGGCAAGTAACCAGTGGCCTCTGGAGAAGGTGTCCCTGAGGAATATCTGAGAGAGAGAGAGAGAGAGAGAGAGAGAGAGAGAGTATGTGTGTGTGTGTTTGTGTGGGTGTGTGTGTGTGTGTGTGTGTGTGTGTGTGTGTGTGTTAGGAGAACAGAGCTATTCTGTACTGAGGCTCATATGTGGCCCATTAATAATAAGCTCTGCCAGGGCTTGTAAGTTTATTAGGAGAAGCCGGTGTAATTAAAATTCAGGGCTGGGGGGAGGGGAGCAGAGGGCTTTTGCTTCCTTTCCTTCTTTCAGAGATCCAGCCTGAGCTACCAATGGGGATAATTAGCAGAGTCCAAACAGAGAAGGAATTAATGCTCCTGAAAAAGCTGTGATGAGGAGAGACAATGCCAAGCTAATTACGGCCGCACCAAGCTTTATGACTGGGCGCTCGCTTCCACCATCATTAGGGGATTCAGAGCTAAATTGGAGACGAATGTGGAGTGTTATAGCTAAGAGAGCATTGGCACTAATTTAGCAATTACTAATATTATTATTTTGGCGGATGGTAACTGTACCTTTCTGCCTGAGGGGTCAGGGCATGTGGGCCTTCTGAATGTGGGGTCAAGGCTGGAGTGATGGAGGTTGGGGGCAGACAGTCAGAAATTCTTTTCCCTCTATGCTCCTCTCCCTGTTTGTACCTGCAACTAGTGAGAGGAGGGGTCTGCCTGGGTCCTCGGGGAGCAAGAAAGAGTTCAGTGCTCCTAGAAGAAAGAAGGGAGGGATGAGGTTGTGTCATTATACTTGGAGTGCCCAGATCCGGATGCCCCTATTTATTTCTACTTTCAGAGACTCCTCTGATTTCGGTTCCTAAGTGTGACTCTGTCCTTACAGGCTTCCTTTCCTAAGCAAGACTAGAAAGGATGCCACCTAGTTTAGTCGGGACTTTGTCTTAGCATGCTTTCCCTACGCCAGACAACCCTATACAGACCATAAAGAAACCTGGCTTGATCCAGATGCCTCAATGCCACTCCTCACTATTTGCAGCCACATGTTATACCCCTAACTCTGTGGACAGGGAAGATAAGCTTCAGACAGTTAGAAGAGAACATGTCTTTTGTACAGAGCTTAGAGGGATGACACCTACTGAAACCACCATCCCTACTTGACGTTCTCATCAAAGTCAGAGAGAGAAGAGAACTTCTAGAACTGTAAATCGAAGGGCTCTACAACTCCTAGATACTGGACCCTGCTTCCAGAACTCTAAAGCTCAAAACACACTAATAAGAATATCATCTCCTTGGGTTCTAAAGGGTTGTGCATTGTACCTTTCCTCAACAACGGCAAAATCTGCAGAATTCCATCCTTCCAGTGAGAAGGACAAACATCACATAAATCTCATGGCCACAAGAAAACTGGAGTTAACCACTCCCAGCTGCCAGCCTAAGAAAAGCAGGGAAGCTTGAGGTCTCCTGTCAGGTTTCCGCATTTTCTGAAGCACTTCTGGACCTCTGCTTGCTACCGTAGGTACAGAACCCATGCTGACCATACCTAAACCTCTGCAACTTGGCTTATGGAAAAAGTTCATTCATTTCCACAAGGCAAATGACACAATGAAAGGTGGAGAACTGCTTGTTAGTTCACTTGGGATGTATTAAGGAGAATAGCAGGGCTGTGGCTCCAGAGTTTTTAAAGAAAAAGGGGAAAATTGCTTTTAGTTGGAACAGTTTGTGTACAGGTGTTTCCAAGTCAGGGTCTGATTAACTGAGACTTCCTGTACAATTCCTAGCACAGACTCTGGCCTATAGAGGAGTCTCAGCAAATGACAGTGGAGTCTGAATCTCAATTGTCGAATCCCAGGGTGTTACTAGAAATCTGTAAGCTAGAGACTTATAACAGGAGAAAGTCAAGGGAAAACATAAAATGGTAAAGAGAGCTGGGCATGCTCTAGCCACTTGCATTTTTCATAAAACTACAACAAATGAAAAACTCTAGCATTCTGCTGGCTGGAGAATCTGGACCCAGGTAGTGGCTCTGGGATGCAGGGAGCAGGCTGGGAGGTGGAACAGTTGGGGCCTGGTCCTGAACTCCATGGCATCTCCCCAGACCCTCTAGTCACCTAAATTCTCAAGATCCCAAGGCCACTCTCAACCACTATCTTTCTCTTGCTATGATCAAAGGGTCTGCTCCTGCCTCCCCACATCCCTTTCAGCCTCCCAACTTGGACCCTGGGCTTCCCGGGACTTGTGACTCAGCAGCCAAAGTTAAAGTTTTCCAGAGCTAACTCGAACTCATCTTCTGATACAGCCTGCAGGGAAGGCATAGTAATTCATCTGGGCCTGCTGACTCTCACCCCTCAGGCTTTTCTCACCCTCAACCTGGCCATCCAGGCACCTGTCATTGCAGATGATGGGTATCCCTCTGGAGTCAGAACACCAGTGCTTCCCCCTACCAAGATGTGCTGCGTACATACAGCCCTGCCCCACTGCCAGCAACTTCCACCCTCACCCCTGGCATTTCTGCCCTGAACAGACAGGAGAGGCAGCTTCCATCCCAGGTGGAACTCCACAGGCATGTTCTCACCCTGTAGGCTCTGAGGGTCAGGACCAGCATTAAGGCCCCGCTGGAGATGGATCCTTGGTGGAAAAGATGGAAGGGAGCTGGGGAGTAGGGAGAGGCAGGAAGAGACTCCCTGATAGGGAAAATTCTGTGTCTGGTGGGTATGGGGAAACGGGTGGTGTGGGAGGGGATGGCACCAGAGAACCAGAGTCTTATAATAATAACTTGTTAGGCCTAACGTGTTCTGCGAATCTCCAAGGCAGGGAATCAACTTCCCCAACCTCCATCTCCATACTACCCTCTAAAAGTTCTTCTTTATGTCTAACCTCAGTCCCTTCTGCTGCAGTGATCAAGCCATTGACTAAACATTGCCACAACTAGGGAGAGCAGCGCCTCCTACGACCCTCACGGGGCTCAGGTGGGCTCCAATCACCCCAAGGCTGGATACAGCCCCCTCACACACCCAAGGCTCCCCTTGGCCTACTGCCCCCTCCCCTGAATTGTTCCTCACGGGTATCTACCTCTATATACGACCTTTAACCTCAAGTGAAAGGACCCTGGGACCTGCAGCCGCTGGGGAGTTTACCCCACCTATACCTGCTCCTGGAACCGCCGGTCCCTGGCATCTCGTCCCTGGAGCAGGGCGTGGGGACCAAATTCCCGCCTCTGGCAGCCCCTGTCTCCCCTTCCCGCGCCAGCGATGCGGAGCCACTGGGCAACTCCCGAGTACTCCTAGGCCCAGCCCTACTGGAGTCGGGGTCGGGGAACAAGGAGGAATGGAGCCCGCAGAGCCTCCTGGAACCCCGGTGCCCTGGTCCCTGCAGGATCTCCCCACCCCCACTCCGCATTCTCTCCAGGCCTCTCACCCCCCCAGCCCCTCCACCACGGAGGGGACACGACCCCGTACTCCCTCCCGCCCGGGACCCTCCAGACGTCGGGACAAAGAAGCCCCGCGGCAGCCGGCGAGCGTGACTGCAGGGCACTGGTGCAGCAGGTAAATACCCGGGGCCGGCCGCCACGTCGCCGACCCTCCCGCAGCTGCCGCCGCCAGGGCGCGACACGCCATTCCCGCTGTCGCGACTCCCCGGAGACACCGCAGCTGCGCGCCGGGGTCCAGCCCGGCGGGGATCGGGCTCGGGACTCACCCGCTCCGGCGAGCTCGACTCGGCTCGGGCTCCCGCCTCGGCTAGGCGGCCGCCTGGGGCTGCGTCCGGCGCAGGGTCCGCGCGGCTTGGGCAGGAGGCGCCCTCTTGGCAAAGTCGGCGAGAGGCGCCCGCTCAGTCGCGCACCCGCCCCGAGTCCGAGTCCGAGAGGGACGGAGGGAGCGAGTTATAGGGGCGAGGGGGGTGGGGGAAGGACGCCGCAACACCCTCATACCCTCCCCCACCCCGCCCCCCGTCCCCCGCCCCCCAGCGGAGACGCGGAAAACCACTCGCAGCTGGAGAGACACCCGGACACAAAGACCTCGTGCCAGCCGCAGACCCAAGTTTCTCCCGGAGAGACCGGGGGTCCGCCCGCGTTCACCGCGAGAACACGCACACGGACGGACAGACCGACGCACGGACCCCGGGACCTCGACACTTGCTAGGAGGCGAGCTCTCTTCCTTAGCCGGGCGCCCCTTGTCTCCCGCTCTCCATGGACCCCTCTCCTGGTAGATTGCCCGCAGAGCGAGCTTGGAGATGCGAGGGAAACTGAAGCCCCGAGGGTGCCCGGTCCTGGGAGCCTGGCTGTCTGCGGGGTCCCCCGCAGTCCGCAGTAGTAATACGGGAGGGCCAGGGGGGTTCTACCCCCACCCCCGGTCCCCTTCGGGTCTCTCCTGGCTGTGCAAGCGATGGGTCAGGGGGCTGGACGAGGCTGGCTCCCAATCCAGAATCCCTAGCTGGAGAGTTCTCGCTAGGTTCTGGGGCTCCTGGGACCGGGACTTTGGGGAAGGGAGACCTCAGGACGGATATCCAGGAAGGGAAGGGGCCCTGGGTCTCCCGTTACCTGCGCCTGCCGCGCTGGGACTCCGTTCTGGGGGCTGCAGCTCGAAGCTCCGACAAGTCTCCACGTCCAGCCCGAGAGGGGGCGGCCGGGCCCGGCACAGCGAGGTGAGGACCGCGAGCGCCTCCTGGCACCGAGGCCCGCCGGCCCCCCACACCCCGCTCATGCCCCAGACACCCAGGCCTGCCGAGCAGCAGCTCGAACCCGCGCCGCGGCCGGACTGGGGCGGGGCACAACGGCCCCAAGAAGACCCTCCCTGCAGCGGCCCCCTGCGGCTCCGCTCTGCTTTTAATCACTTCCCCGCAGGGTCCCCGCCCCTCACGTGGCATCCCGCGGCAGCTGGCAAGTCTGGCGCCTCGCGGCCGCCCCCTCTACACTCAGGGACTGGTCTGAGTCCGGGGAGTAGGGGGTTCGAGGCGGGGAGCCGGGCTGTCCCGAATCTCAGAGGGTGCAAGGCCAAGAAGGAGTCCGGGTTCCCGCTCCGCATTCACTGCCTGGTGTGACCTTGGGCGTCTCTGAGCCTCAATTTTCCTCTCCGTAAAGGTGGTGTAATGATTTTAAGTACTTCACGGGCTCCCTGGGGACAGAAAGATCGTGTTTGTGATAACACTGGGGAAACTGCCACATGCCGCACGAATGACAGGGAAATAGATAACCCCGTAACAGAAAGAGCGACGGTCAGGCTGGGTCTGGGGGGACCTTGGCAGAGGTTCCTGACGGGAGAAGTTAGACTGGTCCCCGAGTCCCAGCTTCGGAGGTAGAAGACCCCAAGACAGGCGGGCGATGCGAACTGCAAGACTTTCCGAGCTCCGCAATCCTGCGGTCAGCCGTACCCGCATGTTGCTATGGCGACGGGAGGCAGCGGCGGTCTCTCTCCATGGCAACGGGAGGGGAAAGTTTCTGGCGAATAGGAATGGGGGGCCATTTCAAGAGGGCGTAGGGCGCTCAGTTCCGCCGACCCACTTCCCTGCTTCTGTGAAACAGCACCAGAGATCATGTATCTTTCTGCCAAGCATAACAAGAAAGACAGAAAGCTAAACGGGAGGATTGAGGCTAGACTTAAAGCAGAGATCCCCTCAGAAACTGTGGAGTGAGGCCCAGGAACAGATTGGCTGAGGGGCTTCGAGGCTCCTCACTCAGCGCTGGAAGTCTATGAGCCATGGTCAGGGAGGCCGGGGGACCAGCGCCCTGCTGGGGGGCCTATCATGGGAGTCTCTTGATCTCCACCTGTCGGCGGTGGGGCCGCTTCTGTGAGGGGCTCGCCTGAAGCCCCAGACCCCGGTCCATTTGCTCTCCCGGAGCTGGGAAGGAAACTTTAGCTGAAGCCCCTGGAAACCGCTGGGTTGGTGTATGCCCGAGTGGCTGGCGAGGGAAGAGGGTCTTGCCTCTTCATTAACACGCTTGTAGGAAGTGACTCGAGCAGTGACTCACGTTCCGGAGGGAGGAGATTCGGAGCCCTAGGTACTGGCGGTCTCCACTGCGCGCCATCTGTGCCAGCCGGCCCTTAGACTTGCTATCCTCTAGCAGCTAGTGCCTTGGGCACCAAGGGCTAAGGCGAGGCCTGTGAGGACCCTGGCCCAGCCAGGCGGCTTTTCCACCTTGAGGCGCTCTCTGGCTCTGTCCACAGTGCTGAAGACCCAGTTGGTGCTACCGTAGCGTGGGCCTAAGTTTAGGGGACGAGGGAGAGGCAATTGTGGAAGGTTCACAGCTTCCACCTTGACCCCTGTGCCTGTGATAGGAGAAGGTTAGGAACTCAGGCAGGGACCAGGCAGACACGACGCAGGCGATACTGTGCAATCCGGGCTGCCTTCCTGCTGGAGGTGTTTGGTTGCTGTTCCAAGAACAAGTGGGACTCTGGCATCCCCATTCGCCTTCCTGGTGCTTCTGAAAACCCACCTGAGGAGCCCAGAGGCCCCATTAACTTATTTTCCATCACCCGATGCAGATCTCAGCACCCAGGAGAGCCTCTGGCTACATGCTTATTAGCAGTTTCCCAAGTGGCAGGTTTGTGTTTATGTAAAATACAAATGGAGAACTGCTCTTTGCCCGTGTTTATGGCAACTCTGTCACTCCGCTGCTATTTCTCCCTCCCCCTCGCGAGTTCCTGGGGAAATTCACAGAACAAAGCGCCTTGTTTTGCCTTTGCAGGGAATGAAAAAATGCAGGACCGTTCCAAGGGCCCAGACCTGTGATGCAGGCAAATCAATATTTTGCTTATATCGAGTGGGGGAATTTGCATCTAAACCGAAGGTAAAGGAGCTCGTTTGGAGCAGAGCAGGTGGCAGGAGCCGAGAATTAACAGATAATTTCTCATTGTTCCCGGATTCAGCCTTCACACTCGGCAGGCGGTTCTGCAGCGTCTCTGGCGCCCCGGCAGCAGCTCTGGACCTGGCATTGCTCAATCTAACACTGTGAAGGAGCTGCTGCCCTGACAGGGCTGCAGAAACAGGTTAGGGCCCCTGGGTCAGTCATTAGCTACTGAAGTTGAAGAGTAGGAGTTAGGGTGTGTGAGAGAGACAAAGAGAAAGAAACAGAGACAGAGATAGAGGCAAGAGACAGATAAAAATAAGAGAGACAGAGGATGAGATAGAGATACAGAGAAACAGTTATAAGAGATAGAGAACAGAGAAACAGACAGAGAGACAGCTGTACAGATAAAGAAACACACATTCAGAAGGAGACATTTAAAAAGTATTTTTAACATTAAAATAAAGCCTCACCCTAGTTGTCCTCTTTAGCCTGCCACCTCCCCCTGCCCCCAGGTCAACTGCTGATACCATTGTGGTCACATAATCAGCCACAAAGCAGAAAAAAATTCTTCATGTAACGATGGAAACTTTTTTGTCTCTCAAACCCCTTTGCCCTGCAAACCCAACCCCAAAACACACTTTCGCTTCTTCCTATATGAAGAGATCAAATTCAGAGTCCCAGGGTCCCACCAAGACCTGGGAGGGAGGATCCGGGGTCCCACTCAAACCCAGAGAGGGAAAGAGGTGGAAAGAAGTAGAATTGTTGCCCTTCAATTCTATCTCGCAGAGAAACCCCGTTCATTCTGATTTTGGGTGTAGGGGTGGGGAGGAGAGAAGCAGGAACAGAGATAGTAAGCATGGAGTGGTGGCAAATAAGTACATTGGACAGGGCCTGGGATGGCTGGGATTCAGGATTGGTGCACCAAAGCAGCCATGAGGCTGTCATATCCCCTATCTGGGGCTTAGTGTGCCTATCCGAAGTTGGATTAGGAGCTCTTTGAGGCTCCTTCTGGCAACAGCACTCTAGGATTTTACATGAGGGAGAAAGGAGGAGGCTGGGGTGAGGGAAGGAGGGAGGCAGCCTTTCCTGGCTCTGAAGCTGAGGGTGGTTTTACAGAGGCCAACTCACTTTCAGCTCCCCCTCCCCCATTGTTCTCATTGCATCTACAGCCATGGATGGAGCATCCCGAGTTTGGGTACCCCCCAGGCCAGACTGCTCAGATGCAGGAAGAGGAGTTGGGGTGGATGGGAGGCAGAATGAGGAGGTTTGAGACAGAAATCAGAGGGCTCCCACTCCTATGCCCTCCTCTCTTCAGAAATAGCCAATGTGCCCACCCCCCCCAACTTAAGTCTCTGCCCTTGGGCAGGCTCCCACTCTGCTCTGAGCAGGAATGTCTTGTTGAGTTATGTGGCAAATAAAATAAATTAAAACCAAATAATAATTTCTTTCAAAAAATTGAACCTTGGTAGGAAATTGCTAATGCTGTAGGCGGAAAGAATGAGCTCCTTTGACATGAGCCGATGTGTCATATTGTCTTTTCATCTCAATGCAATTTCTAAATAGGGAGCCCTTTCCCCATTCCCTCCTCCCTCCAAGTCCCCAGCAGAAATGTAAAGGGAGCAGTCTGACGATTGAAGCTGGATTGTCTGACGTGCAGGGAGAGACACGGAGGAATAGACACACAAGCACACCTACAGCTTTGTCATGTGGATAGAAGCCAAGAAGGCTCTGACCCAACCCTAAGGGCCCCTGGTCTCTTCTCCCCCACCTCCCCCGTCCTCTGCTTACTGAGGCTTGTAGCTGCCTTCTGAAGAAGTGTTAATTTACTTAAGAAAACAGACATCAGTTGAACCTAATCTACTGCCAATGGAGAATCAAGTTGAGGTCCTGTATTTGAGGGTGTAACTTTATATCATTATTTGGAATAAACTGTACTATGGATTCCCTATGGGGTTTCAGCTAGAACAGCTTTATCAGTATTTCCTACAGATTCCACTCTCTCCCCAAGACCCCATACCAAGATAGTAAATCTAGCCAAAGCTGGGTGACTTCTGCAAATCATGCCGTTCCAAGCCATCATCAGAGTTTTCAGGGATTCCTCCTTACCTGAGAAGATGCAGAAGACATTGCAGAGCTCAGGGTCAATGCCTAGGTGCTTTTTGAAAGAGTCCATTCTTGCTTTTATTCCAAGAAATCTGCTTGGAAATTCAAACATCCTGAACCAGGGTATATTTGCCTCTCTCCCATTCCTCCCCCATTTCAGTGGTCTCATCTCTGTCCTGTGCTCTCTGTTCAAGCACACAATGTTCCACATCAGACTTGGGAAGACTGGACAATGTTTTCTGCATCCAGCCTGGCTTTGTGGACAAAAGCAGGCTGGAGTTTGGGGAAACAGAGACAGGTTGAAGGTCAGAAGGCAGTATCATCCTTCAAACAACTTTAGAGCTAGGCCTAACCATGGTGGGTTGGGGTCTGTCTTCATTATTGAGAAGTGAAGATGATGTCAGAGGGGAAGGGCTAGGAAGGGAGCCAAATAGTCCTCTTCTCACTGACCTTGTACAGAAGAAACAGCACGGGCTTTGGAGTTGGACAGATCTGCGTTCAAATCCTGGGTCTGTTATTTACCAACTGGCTTGCTTTAGGTCCTGTACTTTAGCTCTCTGAACTTCAGCTTCCTCATTTGTAAAATGGGACATATAGGGCCTGATTCACAGTGTACAAGGAAAGGATTACATGAGTTGGGTTAAATGGCGAAGGTACTGTGACTGATCTGTGGCAAGTGTTAAACAAAAGACGGTTCCTGTCCTCTTCCTTCCTTTTTTCAGAATGTAGAGGAAAATTTAGCAGGTGTACTATTCGGAGGTTAACCTGTATTCTTCCATGGGGCAAGTCTCTGCAAATTTTCCAGAAGGAATTTATCTCATTTAATTCTTACAAAAACACTGAGAGGCAGAATGGGTGGATCCTAATGGTCCATCTAGCAGAGGAGATTAAGTGCCTAGCTCCTAGTCCACAAGC